CAGGCTTTGGCCTGGGGCTACAGTTGGGGACCCCTGAACTGAAGGAAAGATTTGGCAGCTCCTGCCAAGATGTGGTCTTGGAGACCAGGCAGGGCTGGACTTTCTTCAGCAGATTCCAAGTGCTGGGTTGAAGAAGATAAAATGTCGATCTCTTATTATTTTCACATACCTGCCTTGCTTTTCCTTGTTTCTACCACCTGGCACTAAATGTGTACATTGATTTTTAAAGTTTTAATTTCCAGGAACTGTGAGCTTCCAGAATTGGGGAAAACATAGCGTTTCTGTTTGGGAGTTGAGGAAGGGAGAGGAGGGGCTCTGCGCACTTCCTGGTAGCTTTGCTAAGCAGTTTAAGGCCCCTATGGGTCAGTGGGGTTGGCCAGGTAGTCCCCGTGTGACCTTCAGAATGACCCTGTGCTGAGATCTCTCTGTTCAGCCATTCACTTCTGCCATGCAGCTGGGAAACAACTGTTAAAGACACTCAGTGGCATGGCGTGGCTGCATCAGTAAACCTCTGCTCCAAGAAATGCCAGCTGGCTGAGTTTGCTGACCCTTGACCTGGAGACTCTTGGGAAGGACAAAATGATTTTAAACCCTCAGAAGACTGCATGGCTGAGTCCACCACTGACTGCAGGGCCTGGAGGCCGCTTGCAGGTGACGGCTGCTTACTCAGTGCAGTGACTTTTGGACTTGCTGCTGGGCAGCTCTGTGCTGAACTCAGGTGGGGCTGTTGTGTGAGTGGCGAGTGGGAGGCCCCACCTGTTTGAAGAGGCTGGGTTGCGCTGTGTGCTGGTGACCTGCTCAGCCACGCTCATCTGACCTGGTTCCTTTCATGTACTTGGCCATGGCAATGATTAAAAGCCCCAAGTCAAAAGGAAAATTTTTTTAGAAAAGATAAATATTTAAGAGGTCAGGGGGCTCATGTCTTTGGCAGGTTATTCATTTTCATACACATTTCTTTAGTAGAGGCCCTCTCTCTCTCTCCCTCTCCCTCTCCCTCTCCCTGTCTTTCTCTCTCTCTCCCTCTCCCTGTCTCCCTCTCCCTCCCTTTCCCTCCCTCCTCCTCTCTTTGTGGGTGCTGGGGATTGAAGCCAGGGCCTTGCTCTCTCCCTACCACGGAATCTACTTTCCCAGTCCCTCACTGTTCTCTTATGAAAAAGTTTTGTCTTCTAAGCCAGAAATACTTTTAGCCAGCATCTTGAATTGTTCAAGTTAAAAACACAGGGAACCTGCAGCTTCCTGACTTTCTGACCTATCAGGAGACCTGTACCGCTCAGGAAGTCCTGGGGATGTGCAGGCTCTGGCTGACAGGTCCATTGTCCTCTGTAGGGCAGATGCCCGCGACCAGACCTGAGATAGCACATGCTGTGGCTTAGATTGAAAGGAGCCTTCTGTTTGTCTGTTCAGCGCAGTGCATTTCTCCCACCCACTTCTGGCCCACTCCCAGCTCACCTGAATTCTGACGTGGCTGGAGAAAAGTGAGCAGACTCTGGCCACTGCCTTCTGTCTCCGTCAGTCCCGGTCTCTCAGCAGCAGTGGCTCTCACAGTGCTGGGGGCCAGCGGGGCTGGCCTTGTCGCCCGAAGTCGTGGTGTTCGGCCACTCTTCCTGTGGCTGCTTCCCCCAGGAGCCCAGCAGAAGCCCAGGCACTCCAGCGTCGCTTTCCGGACAGCTGTATCCCTGTGGGACTCCCTCAGACCACTCTTCTTTCCGAAGCTGCGGTTTGGGGTGTTGGCTGTCAGTGTGTGGTGACAGCTTTCAAGCCTCTCCTCATCAAGTGGGGAAAAGATGGAATCTAGATGTGATGTGTTCTTCATCTTTCCATCCCTAAGGATAATGGTCAGCATTTACTGCACACCTGTGATTGTCAGAGGTACCAGTCCCCAGATTTCACATCTTCACTCACTTAACCGTCAGGAGAACCCTGGGAAGGGTCTGAGGCTCCTGAGAAATGGGCCAGGCTCAGAGCTGGCTCTTGGCTTCCAGTTTGTTCTCATTGCTGCCTGTGCTGCCCACACCTGACTCATGGGTTAGCTTGGAGGTCTTATTGACTGGCTGAAGGACGGGGAATATTAAATGATCATCCATGTGTCCCTTGGAGCGAGAGAATCGAGCCTGTTTTCTGCTTTCAAACTCCCAGTACACCACCCTGGCTCATGTCTGCTAGAATAGCAAAAGATCTTGCACGGGCCCCACCTAAAATTCTATTGTTGGGAATTTGGCGCATGGCATGATATGGCGCTTCAAAGGCCCGGATAGAATGGATTATTCCCTAAGAGACAGTTGTCCATTAGAAGGGGAAAAACTATTCTTTGCATTTCTTTACTCTTTGATGTCAAAAAGGAACTCCAAAGGGATGCACACTTTCAATATAAATGTGAAACCAGATGCTTGGGTTCTGCATAAGATCCCAAGAGATCAAAATTTTAAAAAACTTTCTGTAGTGAAGTATCTGAATATTCATTAGAAAAGAGAAAGATAAAAAGTAGAAGTAATGAGAGTTCTGATTACACTTAGATCCAAGTAGGTGAGGTTTGGTTGCTGGAAAAAACCAATCTCTGGGTTTTTAGACCATTTTGGAATCAGCTGTGGATAAGGCAGGTGCATGAGAGGTGGGTGTGTGAACGTGTTCGGGCAGTACTGTTGGGAGTCAGCTGGGTACCCTGACCTTCTGTGAGGATTGCTGAAGTGCTGGCACACAATAGCGCTGTATTCAGCCCTTCAGAAATGGAGCAAACCCCCTTGTGCTACCAGGAAAGGGCAGCAGGATGTGCTCTTTCCTCCCCGCCCTGTTTGCAGAACAGGGTGGTGTGGTCTTGTTTGTATTAAAAATAAAGGTATGTTAGTGCACAAGGAAACATCTAGAATTACGTCTGCACATTTGATCACCTGGGAAGATTAGAAAATACCAACACCTGGGCCTCATCCGGAACCTTTGAGTTAGGAGTGGGTGAGGCAGGCAGGTAAGGCCAATGTCTGGGAGATGTGAGGGCCCTGGCAGAGGGATGCAGACCAGAAGTGCTGTCCTTTCACCGTGGGTGGGAGGGGAAATGTAACTTTCTCTTTTACTGTGTGCAGTAGTTCCCCTATTGTGTTACTAACTTTTTAGAAGTTCTTTTTTGATCCAAACCAGATGTGATAGGGCAGTAGAAACGTTTTCAGCCAATTGGTAGACTCTTGTAGAAGGTTAGTATTTCTGAGGTTACTCTCCTTCAGTGCAGACCGTGTTTGCTGGTACCTGTTGATAAAGGAACTGAAAACATTCTTTCCTCTTGTGTCCTGAGACCAGAGGCATGCATGGACACCGGACTCAAGCATCAGTCTATCCATGCCGTGCCTGGGTGCTTTGCTGTAGGTGATTTGACTAGATTGTTATTTGTACCACCAGGCTCCCGAGCTAGGAGTGACTGCTGGTGGAGAAGGACCCTTTGGTGGCCAGCAGGCTGCAGGGCGGGGGCAGCTCTTGCTGGCTGCCTTGTGTTCTCCCCGCGAGAACTGTCCTGCACTTGAGTCCCTTGAGGCTCTCCTTCCCTCTTCCCCTTCACCTCCCTGTCCTTCCTCCTCCTCCTCTTCCTCCTCGTCTCTTTCTTATTCCTCTTCTTTCCAGTTTAGATCCAAAGCCCCCAAGCATCTGTGTTTGGAAGGTGCTCGGAGGGGGCTGTACCCCTCAGGGGATTCATCCGTGGAGGAGGAGCCGCAGGCAACTCTAGGAGGTGGGGCCCAGTGGCAGGAGGTGGTTACTAGGCTGTGACCCAGCAGGGTGCATCTCCCTCTCTGGCTCTTCCCTTCACTTTCTGCTTCCTGGATGCCACCAGAGACCGCTTTTCCTCCTTCGAGCCCTTCTGCCATCCTGTTTGTGCCTTGGAGCCAGCTGACTGTGCCCTGAAACTGTGAGCCAAAATGAACCTCTCCTTTAATTTATGGGCACTGGGTATTTTGTCCCAGCTATGAAAAAATGGAAACACTGCTCCTCCTCCTCCTCCTCCACTTCTCTTCCTCTGCTTTCTCATCCTCTCCTTTCCCCTTCCCCTTCTGTTCTTCCTCCCCTCCCCTACTTCTTTCTTCTCCCCCTCCCCCCTCAGCCCACAAGGCTTGCTGTTCTCAGGAACCACTTATTATGATGTGGCCTCCTTTGCTCTGATAGAGTTCTGCTTGGTCTGGCTCAGCAAAAGCCATTTGGAAAAGCAGTGTTCCTTGTTCTTGGAGACTGGTGCTTTTGTCCAGCTAGTTCTGGGTTTGAGTTGGAGCCCTCATACAAACTCACTGCAGTATCTGTGCACTCCAGTCTTCCCTGAGGTCATTTTCTAGCCTGGTGTCACTGCATACCCTACACACAGTCCCACCTATGTGGGCTCTGTGAAGTCGGGAGACACTGCGCTCAGGGGACAGGTGTTCCTGTTGGGCCCAGAGTGAATGCATTTCCACCTTGAACCCCAGAACAGACTTGGTCCCCTCCCTGACTTCAGCTGCATTTCACACTTCCCATACTTGTCTCATGGCACAGAGGAGGGGACACTTGAGCTGTCAGGGTTTTGTGTGGGCAGTGACACTGGCCCTGACTTCCAGTGGGCTTCACGCTCCCTCCAGCAGGGATGTGATCTGGCTGGAGAACGAATTTCTGCCTGAGGTTGGAAACTCTGCTTGCAGGAGCAGCTTCTGTAGGGAATCCAAGAACCGTCTGCTAACACAGTATGAAAGCATTTAATGTTTGCTCTCACTGTCAGCACAAATGATCAATTCTTAGACTGCACTGGGGAGCTGAGCCCCTAACCACACCACTGTGTAGACCAGGGCTGTGAAGCAGAGGAGAATCGGGCCTCGCAGTGTCTCCAGTCAGGCCGTGCTGTGTGGCCAGCCACCTTCCTGGGCACACACCTGTATGCTGCACACGCACCTTAGGGTTGGTGCTTCTTGGGAGACACCTGGCCGAGGGAGGCAAGGGAGGCCAGCCCCCGAGGGTGGCAGTACTGAGTGGAGGCTGATTCCCTTGCTTGTCTTTGGCAGGTCCACAGCCCGGTCTTGAGATGATGGGACTGGGAAATGGGCGTCGGAGCCTGAAGTCTCCACCCCTGCTGCTGGCGGCCCTGGTGGCCTGCATCATTGTTTTAGGCTTCAACTACTGGACTGCCAGCTCAAGGAGTGTGGATCTCCAGGTACTTTGTTTGTGTGTATGGATGCCCTTGGGGAGTTAATGTGGTTGGGAGTCTGTCTCAGGATTAGCTGTTTGTCACGGAGGCGCTGTACTCAGACCCGGGAAGCCAGACCCGAGGCAGCCAGCTTTGGGCCGAGGACCACCTCAGCTGTCTGGGATTGGTCCTGGAGCCTCTCCCTGCTCTTTAGCTGAGCATGCCCGTGGCTTGCAAGGCAGCTGGCTGAGGTGCACTGACCGCATCCCAGTCCTCTGGTCCATGCGGGTAGCAGAAAGCACTGTTTGCGGTATGGGAACGATGGTGTAAGAAATGTGGTTTTGAAAGTCCCAACCTTTATCATCATCGTTTAGTGATAATAGTAATTTAGTTTTCCAGCACACTGTGGCCGGTCATGGGCTGGGGCGGTGCTGAGCAATGACAAAGACCTTCTCCTTGGCTAAGTCTGGGCCTCACCCAGCCCTGGCTTTGGTCTGCCCAGCAAAGACGTAACAAACAGTGTGGCTGCTCTCTCCAGGCTTGGTATCTGACCCAGTTCCTCCTACCCTATCGTGGAGGCCTAGGTCCTCATAGTTAGCAAGAATCCCCCACCTTTGATGTGTCCCGGTCCGTCCACCCACCGCCCCCTTCACTCTGCAGCAGTGGCCTTTGCTGAGCTGAGAGCTGAGCAGTTTGCCTCCATTTCAGTAATCACGGCCCTACTAGGAAAGCCTTGGTGACATCTTCCTTACCAGCACTTCACAGACGTCCCCTTTGATGCACAAACCTTGGAGAGCTGGGCTTTCCCGTTCCCACCTTGCAGGTGGGCAGACGGCAACACAGGTGCAGTGCAGTTCTGACCATGTGGGCGCTTGGTGTGGACCCTGCACACTGCGCCTCTCTGTGTCCTGCTCGCTCCCGGCCACCAGGGCTGTGGGCCATGACTGAGCTTCACTGGAGCCCCTGTTTTCTGGGCAGATGAGGTCTTAGCATCTGGAGTTGGAAACCTGAGCTTTCTGAAATTTTATCTGATTACACTTAAGTGCTGAAACAGGTGGTGGTGTGGGCCTAGAATCCCAGCACTCCAGAGGCTGAGGCAGGAGGATTTCCAGTTCAGGGCCAGCCTGGGCAATGTAGCAAGATATTTGTGTTGGGTAAAAAAGGAAAGAGTGAAGTGCTCCATTAGCAGGGAAGGGAAACTAGCATGGGCAGCCCCGCTGTAGAGGTCGGGCGTATGGAGGCCAGGGGCAGGCTTGGGCCCCCACATGATTTGCACCGAGGGGCCCGTGGCTCTGTCTCGGGTGTCTCACCTTGGCCCTTGTGCTGTGCTCCCCTTGCAGACACAAATCCTCGAGCTGGAAAGCAGAGTCCGCAGGGCGGCTGCTGAGAGAGGCGCTGTGGAGCTGAAAAAGAACGAGTTCCAGGGAGAGCTGGAGAAGCAGCGAGAACAGCTGGACAAGATCCAGTCCAGCCACAGCTTCCAGCTGGAGAGCGTCAACAAGCTGTACCAGGATGAGAAGGTGCGCTGCCCGAGCATCCCCAGTCTCTCGGCTGAATCCTGGTTGACTTGCGTAATTCCGCTGTCGCGGCTGAGCTCTGGGCCTGTCTCCGCGGCACTCCGTCTCCCGTTGGTCCCTGGCCGGGTCGCTGTGGAAGCTTAGCAGTGAGGGTGGGTGGGAGAAGTGGCACTGGGCTCTTCCTCTTGTGGACCTCTTTCTTCCTTTCTCCCTGGCCCCAGGCCTGGGCCGGTGCCTGCAGCTCCCAGAGCGATGGTGCTGTGCGTCAGGTATCTCTGGGAGCAGGGGGGTGCAGATCTCTAAGTAGATACTGAGGAAAAAGCAGGGGCTCGGGGTGTTGGCTTTTAAGTTTTAACGAAACATCTTGCACAGATTTAAAAGACGGCTTCTTGCTAATTCAGATGCCAAAGCTTCACATCTCACTTTTCCTAAGAATTGCACGATTGGCTTCCTTGTTCACTGCATTGTGTAACAGTGCCAGTTGCTACTGTCTTCTGTTCTGCAGTGTCTCGAAGTCCCGGCTGTTGGTTCTTCAGGAGGATCAGGCCCTTACTAATGCAGGTGCTCTCCCCGGGGAATGGTTAATTTCTTGGCAGGGGTTGTCTCCCCAGAGCCATTATCTCAGATATGGACTTGGTTTTATTGTGAACTAGTGCCCAGAGCGTCACCAGAAAATAAATTCTTTCTAGGTGGAGCCTCAGACTTTTCTCTCCTCACTGATTTAAAATGTAAGAAGTACTTTTCTTCGTTTGCAGAATATTTCCCCATATAATTGTTCCAATTTTAATAAAATGCTTTTTTTTCTTCACTGGGAGACACATTTTGTGTTCCTGAAATCCCCTTTAACTGAATGTAATACCTGGATATTTCTCAGTTAAAAACACACTTCTTGGAGAAAATGGTGTTGATTAATTCAAATTCAGAAACCGTAAATGTGAGAGAACATTGTTTGGGGCTTTAGGGATTGTAGCTCAGGAGACACAGGATCCTTGGCTCTGAATCAGCTTCCGAGGAAGGCAGGAAAGGTGGAGCCTGTGCTGAGTGTTGGGAAGAATGGGGTCTGTGTGACACACAATGAAGGGCGGGGATGTCTGCAGCTCCGTGCAGAGCTTTGGGTGTGGTCCTCAGAGTGGGGAGGAGCAAGCCAGCAGAGTGGACCCCAGAGTGAACCCGGCTGTGCTGCAGGAGGACCTTGCCCTCGGTACTGTCACCTAGGAGGTTCCTGATGGGTGGCTGAGGGGTGGGGTGCACAACCGGAACTGCACAGAGGCCTCGTCTCCATGTTGAAGGCTCTGCAGTTTTGTGTTCATCGTCATTTTCCTTTTATTTCACAGTTCTCAAGGAATAAATCTTGCAGGAATTCCTCCTGGGCTTTGCAGGATGCGACCCTGATGTGAACTGAACAGAGCTGGGGCCAGAATGGTACCCCAGGAGAGGCCAGCAGGGTGACCTCACAGGGCCTGGGGTGGGGAGGCAGGAGGGTCCTCCGAGCCAGTTGGGTTGGTGCTGTAGGAAGTGAGGAACAGAGAGGATGTTTGTGTATCTGTCTGCCTGTCCCCACCCTGTGTGTGCATGCATGTGCATGTGTGTGCATGTACACACAAGAAAGAGGAAGATTGCCTGAATGTTCATCTCTTTTTCTTAGCAATCCTTTGCAGCCGGGACTGTGGCCCAGTGGTACAGGGCTTGCCTTGCATGTACATTCAGCCTGGATTCAGTCCCTAGCATGGACGAAGAACTGTCTTTTTCTGTGGTTCTCTGGCCTATTAATATTTTTTCATTTTTCGTGATCCTGGGGAACATCCCTGAGTGCTCTACCACTGAACTACATCTCCAACTCTTTTTTTTTCTGAGGCTGACCTCAAACTTGTGATCCCACTGCAACTGAGATTATAGGCCAGCACTGTGCGTGGCTGTTTGTCTTTTTAAGTGGTTTTTTTCTCTTTGAAGTAGTATACTAATGTGTGTCTTTGCGTGTATCCAGTTTTCATTGTTGTGCGGTGTGTGGTTGTCATGTCAGCCTGCCAAATGCTTCTGCGGTTTTACTAGTGTGTAAGATCCCAGTTTCTGGGAAGCAACTCTCGGCATGCTCCTCCAGCGCCTGGATGTTTGTGAGCATGGGGTGAAGGTGCGGCTGCCTGCTTGGATAGGAGAAGAGTAGTCGGAGAAGAGGTGCCGACCCGAAGACCTACCAGGAGGCCCGCCCGGGGTTCCACTACCTCCTGAGGATGCCACGCGGGGCCCAAGGCTTTAACACATGGCATATGTGGAACACAGATCCCGACTACAGCAGGCTTCAATATCTGAACTTTGAGGAGACACAAAGACTTAGACATGGGGCCTTTTTTTTTTTTTTTTTTTCTGAGGCAGGGTCGCCCTATAGAGTCCAGGCTGGCCTTGAACTTGTGGCAGTTCTCCTGCCTTAGCCTCCTGAGTGCTGTACTACACCATGCCTGGCAGTGCCTTCTCTTTTTCTGAAATTGAACCCATGAAACCAAATGGCACTGGAAGGAGAGGGGGAGGCTGGAAGCGGGAGGCTGACCAGGAGTACTCACCCTTCGGCAGGAGGAGGGGTTCTGGTGTGCTGGTTCACAGTGGGGTGAAATGGATAGTGTTTCCAAGAGCTGAGAGCATTTCTACCATGCTCACCATAAAGAAACCAGATAGCTGGAGGAGGTGGATGTGCCTGATCTGATTTAAACATTACACAGTATATACTGTACATGTGTTGGAACATCACATGGTACCCCATAAATACGTACAATTTTTATGTTTTTATGTGTTAAAAAGTTAGCATAAATTTTAAAAAGTGAAACTTCAACAGTAATAGGAAGAAAAGGATTAGGAGGCTGTGTAGGAAGATAGAACTGAGTGCAGACAGCACAGTAGGGCTGTGGGAAAAGACCAAGCAGTGGCTGCAGCCGTGAGAATACTACTCAGGGGTGGCTTTGGCCCCATGGAAGCTTGCTCAACCCACCCTGGGGTTGCTTTCTGTGTCCCTCGCCACAGCCTCACAAGATCAGGGCTTCTTGCATCACAGGCGTGGAGCTTCAGCTCAAGGTGCTTGGCTGTCTCCAGGAGACCAGGATGCTGGAAGGGCCTGAGACTGGCTCCGGCTTCTCTACTGCCCCAGGAGGGACACCTGTGGAAGCTGGCTGGTGACACCAGGCTCGTCACCCTGGCCTGCTCGCCCCTGAGATGGTGCAGCCTTTTCAAGATAGAAGCTTTAAAAAATGTCATCTTTTTGTCTTCCTGCTCTCAGAGACTCCTATATTCCAGCTGGCTCTTTTTTGGCTACTGTTTTGCAGTCTTAGGTGAGAAACATCTGTTTCATTCACTCAAATACTTAAGTGTCATTTTATCATCTCTTCCTTAATTTTAGAAAAATTACCACTTGTGATTTGAATTGGGATGAAGCTGCTTTTCGGAATTTTAAATACTCATAGAGTGGTCTGATACTGGTTGAGTATCTGTCATTTGAAATGCCTGGGACCAGGAGTGATTCAGATCGTAGATTTTATGGAGTTTAGAATATTTGCATATATGTAATGTGCTGTCATGCAGATGGGACCCAAGTCTAAAATCTGAATTCATTTTACATTCATATACACATAGCATGAACACGATTGCCTACGGTATTTTTGGTACACTTGTGTTTTCATTGTGACCCATCACATGAGTCAGGTATGGGATTTTCCACTTGTGATGTCACATGGATGCTCAGAAAGCTTCAGATTTTGGACCATCTTGGATTTTGGACTTTTACACTTGGGATACGCAATCTGGGGTGTCTGACATCCTTGGAAGGAGGTCATGTGTTGGGACCTGTGGCCCTGCCAATTTGCAGACTTTGCAGGACCTCAGGATTTCCTGCCTTCACCAGCATCCCATGTCTTCACCAGCATTCACTGTTATTCTGGGTGGGTTTACGTCTAAGTAGGGCCCAGACAAATGCTTCAAAACCAAACCTATCAGGGAAAATGTGGTGAACAGACACACCCCTCTTCCTGATCACTGCTTCAGGTCAACCCTATATGATAGAATTTTCTGGGATGGAGGACATGTTCTCTGTGTTCCACACTATCCAGCCACTGGCCACATGAGGCTACTGAACACCTGGACTATGGCAGGTGGGAGTGAGAAGCATTGAATTTAATTTTAATTTCTTATGGTTTACATCAATAATGTCCCCCAAGACCCTTATGTGCTCAGAGGTGAGGCTTTTAAAAGGTGGTTAAGTTATGAGGATGTTACAGCTGGCTTACTGTTAAAGGTGGGAGCTAGTTAGAGCTGGGTCACTAGGAGGCATGGCCTGGAAGGATGCATCTCCTTCCCCTGATTCTCCCTTCCCTCTTTGCTTTCTGACTACCATGACACAAGTAACTCTTCCTCTGTCATGCTGTTTCTTCTTTAAAGCCGCTAACCATAAGCCAAAATAACCTTCTCTCCTTTAGAGCTGCTGAAATGTAAGCCAGAATAAACCTCTTCTTTAAATTTTGGGTATTGGGTATTGTGTCCCTGGAAAGAAAAAGTTACTAAGACAGATTTTGATACCATGAGTGGGGTCATTGCTGTGACTAACTGACCATTTGGTTTAGAACCCTTTGGAACTGGTTTGCAGGATGAGTTTGGAAAGAATTGGAGATGCTGGCTAAAGAAGCCCTAGAATCCTGTAAGCAGAGCTTGATGGGTGATACTGGTCAGAATGCAGAAGACAAGAATGATGATAGACATGCAGAGTGTAAAGGCCAAGCTCAGGAAGTTTTGGTTGGGAACAAGTACTCCATTGGCTGTTGAACTAGAGACTGTGTATATTATGTTCTGGCAGAAAATTTGTCCTTATATCCTAATTGTGGGAGACTGAGATTAAAGGCAGTAGACTAAATAATCTCATGGAGGAAGTTTCAAGACAGCCCATTGTTTAGGCTGTAGCATGTATATTGCTTGTTGCTTTTAGTGAGATTTACACTGAGAAACAGGACTGAAAATCCCATTTAAAAAGT